GACAGAAAAGCATTTAATTATGTGCTCAGAAGCAGTACGGGAGCCTTCACTTAATGCTCTTCATAGTCCAGTGTTATATAACTTAAAAAAAATAGGTGGGTTTTGGTTTTGGTTTCTTCTGTTTCCCACACACCTTTACAGGAGATATAGTTTTAGCTGCTTACAAAAAGAGTTTACAAAAGCAGCTGAAGAAAGCCACAATGTGAGAAGCAGTGGCAGAGGGCACAACTTTTAATAGCGCTGGACAGGCACACCCACAGAGCAGCCTGGGGACACCTCTGGGGAGATTCCCAAAATCTTGCCTTGAGCAAGAACAGGGGTCAAAGAGGGGCTTTATGTGCCCCATGTGATTCTTATGCTGGTTTGTGTCTTTGGACTGCAGCACCCCGGGCTGCCCAGGCAGATGCTGTCCCTGACAGCAGGCTCAGCTCAGCCTCTGTGCTCTGCTGCAGCGTCTCTGCTCCTCTTCCTCTGCCTTCCTCCCCCTGCACACACAGCAGCTGAGCAGCAGGAGAAGTTGCTGCACCTTTTGGTCACCGAGCCTTTGCCTGTTCTCTCCAGGCTCTGCTTTTTGGCAGTGCCAGGAGAGCAGCCAGAGCAGTGTGTGTGGAGCTTGTGCTTCTCCACATGTTTAACAAGCACACTAATTTGAAAGCCAGCCAAGCAGCTTTCCCATTTGTACTCTTGTGTAAATGACAGACAGGCAGGTTTCTTTTCAGTTTGCTCAGGGCAGCACATTTCTGCCCCTCTTCCCCCATGGGAAGTCCTTGGGAAACCTTTGGGTGCGTGGCAGCCAAGGTCTCTGGGTCCCCCTGCCCCATAAAGGGAATGTTCAGGCTGCTGTCATTTGCCCCGTGGGGCTGGACAGTCCCTGCAGGCTGGTGGCAGTGTCCTCAGGAGCTGGGGGCTCTGGTGTCTCCTGTGGGGCTGGACAGTCCCTGCAGGCTGGTGGCAGTGTCCTCAGGAGCTGGGGGCTCTGGTGTCTCCTGTGGGGCTGGACAGTCCCTGCAGGCTGGTGGCAGTGTCCTCAGGAGCTGGGGGCTCTGGTGTCTCCTGCTGGGCCTGCCAGTCCCTCAGAGGACGCTGCCTCTGCTGGGCTCTGCTCCTTGTGTTTGGGTGGAAGGATGGAGAGTGTGCCCAAGACTCAGAGAAAGCAATTAGTCTGAAGTGGAAAATTAATGTGAGGGGGAAAACCTCAGCAAAACCACTTTGGTGAGACAGAAGTCTGTACCTCTGAGTAGCCTGGGTTTGTCTTTCGTTTGCATGAGTTGTGGTGTTGCAGAATAACCCCTGAGTGAAATACCCTGGCAGGTTTGGGTCTCTCTGAAGATCAGTTTCAATCTTCAAGCCCATTTCAGCCCCTTGTCACGATCTAGGGGCTGCTCTTCTCACTTTGAAGTTTCCTGAAAACTTGAAATTACTTGATATGACAAACTACTAGAGTGACATTTATTAGGCTTTCTTTGTGGTTGTTCATCCTCGCATGGAAAACTGACTGGTTTATTTTTTTAAGTAATGTATTTAATCCTAGGGAAAAGATGTTGGAGTGGCTCTCCAGGGCCCATCTGGGCTCACTGTGGCCCCTTGTGAGAAGGCAGGAGACTCACAGAGCTTGGATCTAGGCTTGGACCCTTCCTTGGTGCCTTCGAGCTCATAAATCATACATCACAAAAGCACAGGTAAAGTTCATGTATGGAAAAAGTTCATATATTACATCCTCTACTTGCTATTAAACCAGTTTAATTTCCTTTTTTTTTTTTTTTTTGATGTCACTGTTGTTGAAAATCTTTCAGAAGGGACTTCTTAGGATATAGAACTTTTCAAAAAGTCTGGCATTGCTTTGATGCACTTTTATAGCATTAGAAATCAGTTCTGTGCACAAGCAGGGAAATGAAGATGATTAAACCCACCAGGCAAAGGGACAGGAAAAGAATTTGGGGAACAAATCCTGTGTGGTTTTGTCTGCTGGGAGATTTTGTTTGTGTGTTTAAGTTGGGGGTTGGGTTTTTTGTCCAAACTACTTTGTGCTCTTCTGTCTTTCAGTTGTGTGAGTCTGTAAAATACAGCTTGGAGAATCACACTGATGGTTGAACAAATGTGAATTGGAGAATGTTGGAGTAATCAGCCATTGATAAAAATGCCCTCAAGAAAAATCAGCTCTGTTCTATGTTATGGAGGCCTGTGGGATTTGGCCCAGTTGGAGAAGTTTAATTGGATGAAAGAAAAAAATTTGTTTTGTGAATATTTTCACCTGTGGCCTGAAATGGCTGTGTCCAGAAAAATTAATGTTAAACACAGTTCCTCTGTAAGGTCCATGGTTAATTGTGCAATTGTGGTCTTGTCCAATTCACAGAAGAGAGTGGAACTGAAAATGTAATTTTTAAAGGCATTGTTTTTGGTGCTTCTGGTTAGCACTTGATTTTTATTTTTTTCCACTAAGACAGTGCTTCTTTGACTTTGTAATACTGCTGAGGCACTGGGAGGAGACCTGAGTATGTGAGGCGTTCACATGCAGGTTTCCATCACTTTTCTGTGTATTAAAAATAACACCAAGAGAGAAGAAACCACTTCTGCTGCACTGAAGCTTTGTATCGGCTCTGGAAGATTTGTGTTTTTAAAGTGTCAAATGCTTTTCAGTTTTATTCACCAACAAAATTGCTCTGTATCTTCCCAAGCTGTAGAAAGATTCTTATTGCTTTGTCCTGGTATAAAAATAAAACCAACTGGAGATGGTCCAGAGTTAACAGTGGATTTCCCACAGGAGCCTGTGTGTAAAATCCTGATTTAGAAAGAAATGTATTCTTAGCTGCAGGTCAAAGACAGGACTTAAGTGTATTATTTGAATGTAAGTTCATCTTGAAAAGCTGTGAATTGAAAGTGACACCTTCTTGCTCAAAAGACCTGTGCTTTTTTGTACTAAAAATTAGGACTACTGTAACAACCTGTAAAATTAACGCAGCTAGGCTCTTTTCCTTCTTTCTCTTAATTTAATTTTCACTTCATTTCTCAAATTTCAAGCACACCTAGCGAGGCTGCTCTCATTTACTTATACTACAGGCAAAATTCAGACCAATGAAATTATATATAAAAACATTTTAGGCCAACAAAGAAGAGGCACTGGTGGCAATAAATGGGAATAAAACAGTCCAGTTTAATTTCCAGATTCTGCAGTCTGGCTTTGCAGCCAGGAGCACACTGAGCCTTGAGAGCAGTGGCTCACAGTGTCTCCCCACCACTGCCCATTATTGCAGCTTAATTACCCTGACTTTAATAATCCCAGCCTTGCGTGATTGGTCACAATTGCTGCTGCTGATAATTTTTTAGGCAGCTAGTGCAGGTAGAGGAGAATTACATCCTGCTGTCAAGTTGGGAAATTAAAATGTATTTTCAAATCATGCACTTCACATATACAGTTTATTTAGTAAAACTTCTTTCTCACAGACATATTTTATATGCAAAGTAATGTGAAAGGTGCAAAGAAGAAAGGTTAACCCATATTGAAAATCTGTACGTTTCTGAGTGATGGAGGCACTCAATAATGTTTAGAAAATATACTCTTTTGGAAAGCTCTTCCTCTTGCTCCTTTACAGAAAGCAGTGAAGATGATGCTAAAAATATTTTTTTGCCTCAGCTGTGGCCATAGTTTTAGTACTAACAAGATTTAAAATGTTCATAGTCCCACTATAAGATATGTGCAGCTGCCCACTTGCACAGTCAATCATTTCTATGGAAATTGATGGACAGCAAATTGTATTTTCAAAATTGGACCCCTTTCTTTTTAATTTGCTACAGAGAAAAGGTAATTTCTTTTCACATTTTGAATAAATTAATACCTGTCCCAGAAACTTGACTACCAACAGTCTCAGACTATTTTCACAGCTGTTCTAGAAAGGTAAAGAAAATTATTCCTTTTTGTGAAAGTGTTTCTGGCTACGAGCACCAACCATGCCCAGCTAAGGGTTCAAGAAACTCTTGGCTTAAATTTCAACAAAGAAACCTTTAGATCAGAGTCAGAGCCAAACTTGCAAATGGCATTAGGGCGGTGACAGCCCAGAGTGCTGAGCTGAAGAATTCAGGCAAGCCCAGAGACCTTTGGAGAAGTGTACAGTACAAGCTGGAAGGACTTCCCTAAGGAATGAGCTGGACAGAGCTGGTCCAGCCTTCTGGCTGGGAGAGAGGAGATCATCAACCACTCCCTAATCTTCTGTGATGCAGGCCTTTCTTTCTTCATTCCCCTGCTCCAAGAAAGAATGAGAAGACAGGCAGAAGAATTTCATACATATGCTACATTACATCTTTGATAGAAATGTATGATGTAGAAACCCAGTTCGACACATTCAGTCGTTCTTTAAATGTCATATTTGAATGGGTTGTTTTGATTTACACGGACAAAACCTGATTTAAAATTGCAGAAGAAAGCACCAGTGATTCCTCAGCACAGGTAATCAGAAAAGTTTGTTGCTCAGGAATGGCTGGTACCTGAGATAGTCCCTCGAGTTTCTATTTTGGGCAGCAAGTCCTCCATGAAAGAGCAAAAACTGCTGTCCCTCCTAGCAGCCCTGAGCAGTCCAGGATGCTTCCAGGAGGGAGGATTCACTGCTGTCCCAGGCTGCCCAAAGCAGAGGAGCCCCAACAGTGATCTTCTGCAGAGTCAGACTTCTGGCTGCATGCTGCTTTTTAACTGCCAAGATACAGTCTAAATTAGAAAGGTTATGAATAGTTATTTCTAGTTTTGCTCTTAGCAACACCTTTCTGATCACAAATGTAAAGGGAAAACGGGTGCAGCTATGACCAAAGCTGATGTTAAAAGGCATTCCTATGACCTGGTTGGTTTTAGTTTTCCTCTGGCAAGCTTTTCACGTTTGGTAGATACTCTCGAGGCTAATGCTTCTTTTGGGGTTAGTCTGTCAGTTTGATAATGCTGGTTCCTTCATCTAACTTTTCTCTCCTTCATCTTTAAAGGGAATTAAAATATGGAACAGGTTTGCAATCACTGGAAATCATTGTCCTTCTCCCTGTGGCACGGGCCCTGCCACGTCAGGCACAGCACTGTCAGTGTCCTGGCACGGGGCGTTCTCCCAGCGCTGGCAGTGCCATCGCACGGCACAGGGGTTAAGGACAGGACACAGCTCAGTGGCCCTCCTCAGGTGTGCTTTCTTACAGAACTCCTTTGCTGCAAAGTAGTAGAAGATGGCATCGAGGCAGCAGTTCAGGTTGGCAAATGTCATGGACACCTGGAGGAAGAGGCTGATGGCCTGCCTCAGCCTGCAGCTGACGATCAGGTGCTGCCTCACCAGGCACTGCAGCAGGATGCCAAGGTGGACGGGGGTGAAGCACACCAGGAACACCACCAGGTTGATGACGATCACTCGCAACGAGCCGCTCTCTTCCACGCTCTTTTTGGCATGGGTTTTGTGATTCAGAAGAATCCAGATGGTTTGGGCAGAGCAGAAAACCATCACTGCAAGAGGGATCAGAAACCCAAACACTTCCACAGAAACAATGAAGGGCACACTCCACGTCTGGTCTGACATGTTGTGAAAGCATTTAATAGGTTCCTTCTTCTGAAACACATAAATTGGGATGCTGCAGATCCAAGCTGCTGCCCAGATGAAGCAGCAAATCACCACGGCCCACCTGGGGGACTGGTTAGCTCGACCTTCAAAGGGGTGCCTTATGCAGATGTACCTGTCCACGGTGATGCAGACAATGATGAAGATGCTGGTGTAGGTGTTGACGAAGTAAGGAGCCTGTATGAGGGAGCAGAGCAGGCCAGGCACCTTGGTGACAGAGTAGTACAGCTTTGGTGGCAGCGAGAGCAGCAGCAGGATGTCTGCCAGCACCAGGCTGATCATGTACACCGAGGTCTTGGTCTGCTTTCTCCAAAAGCAGCAGAACACAAACAGGGCCAGGCTGTTGAGAACCAGCCCGAGGATGAAGGTGGGGATGGAGAGCCCCAGCTGCAGGCTCCATGCCAAGCTGTTGATGGCTGTAAAACTGCAATTCTCACTGCTGCTGGTCGTTTCTGCCCTGAAATGACAAAGAAAGCAAGATGGAAATGTGTAAGACTCACAGTTAATGCCATGATAACCATAAACCAAGATCCTTTCAAACACAGTTCTAGAATTTTTTGGTCTTGAGCTGGACACTTGGTCAGCCTTGTCTATTACAGAAAGTGAAACCTGTCAAGCACAGAGCTTTCTATTTCCAATTTGACTGGCTTGTTATGTCACAAGGGAGTCTGATTCTCAGGGGAAAGTAGTCAACATCCACTGATTACCATCCCATGGAAGAGAATCCAATTTAGATATTGAAGGGACTGTCTCCTTCTAACATTTATTTTCGAAAACTCTAAAGACTACTGGCTAATTTTAATAATTTGTAGACCTGTTGAAATTTCCCTAGCATATGTGCTTAGTTTTGCTGCTATGCAGAGATTAATGAAATTATTATTCCATATTAAGCTATGTTGATCTGATAGCTGGGATAGCTCTTTTATCTAAATCCTCATGCATCAGTAGCTTTTGCTGATGTGCTTTTACTGCACCCATATTCATATGATGTTTTAGTTTCATACAGTGCTTATATCCAATGCAGTATTTTAAAAGGTCAGTTAAGAATACTGATCTTTTATCTAGGTGCAAAATGAGTAAGCATGTTTTTTCACTTGTGCTTAAATTTCAGCATTGTTTAAATCTGGGGTTAGCAGTTTAAATTTTAACTGATTATCTTAGACAATCCAGATTAGCAAGTGGAAGCCATGACATCTTCATAATGCAATTCTTTAAAAAATTGATTTATCTTGAATGTTATCACTATTTTTAAAAATATACATAGGCTTTAACAAATGATGCCTTAAAAGTGCTTTTTATAACCTCTTTTAATCAAAACCAAAAAAAGCCCTAATAAAGCGTAAGAAATTAGTGACTGAAGTTCCCAGTCCAGTTCAGCCAACCAAGTAGCTCAAGAGAAATTTTAGGAGTAAGTGAAGGTGTTGTAAGAAGAGTTTGATTAAGAGGAGAATCTTTGCTTTGGAGGATGACAAGTGACAGCTCCTAAGCACTGCCAAATGAAGCTAAACTTTGCTAAAGAAACCAAAACCAAAGAGAGAAAGATTTTTTTTTTTGGTGGCTAAAATAAAATATTTTTAAAAAATAGAGAAACAGAGAACAGCTGAGGAGACAGCCTTGCATTTTGCCAACTCTTATACCACTAATTCCATAAGAATTCATTGACATTGTGCTGGAGGTCAGATGTGGGATGGCTTGTGGGAATCAGTGAGTGATAATGGAAATAATTGTATCTGAACACAGAATGCACTCAGAGCTTAACATGCTTCTATTAGTGAAACATTAATTTCCAGCTCAGACTACAGGAAGAACAGGCACATAAAGCTGAAGGTCCAGCCCAGTAGTTGTTATGAGACATGGATGTTATCAGTGTGGCTGGAAAAGGTTCAGTCTAATCTATCTGTTGTAGGAAAGAGTGTCAAATGTGATTAAAGCAATTCTGTAACTGATGAGCCTAAGCTTCATATGGATTTATAAAGAAAATTGCTAAATAAGTCTTTGAGAGCTCTTACCAGACCCTTATCTTTGATGAAGTATCTGCTTTTTCATATAAGGGAAAGGCAGAGGATTTTAAGCACTTGCATTTCAGCAAAGTGTACTAGAAACAAGTGGCCAGCACTAGAAAAAGCAGGGTTTAGAGCAAGGGCTGTTCAGTAGGCAGGGAAATGGGAAATGGTTGTCTGGAGGCTGCTGAGGATTACAAACACACTGGATGGGGTTGTTAAGGGGTGCACAGCACTGAGACTGTCCTTGGCTGTGTGACCCCACTGAAGGAGTGAGGGTCACCTCTGGGGAGGGGCTGGGTGCCACTGTCACCCACAGAGAGCTGGGCAGAGCCCCTGGGCTGGGCGTCACAGCGCTGCAACTCGGGAAACAGAAAAAGGAAAGCTGGATGTTGTCACTGGATTTCTCTGTCAGAAATGAGAGCAAAAGGGAAAACCTTCCTTTGGTCGTCAAGGTGAGGTTAAATCAGCCCATTTGAGCCAGCAATATGTGGCAGCTACTTGGAAAATCACGTTTGTGGTGTGTGAGAAGTGAGAAAATCACACAGAACATGGAGCTGAGTTGGTGCAGTGTGTGCAGGGGCTCACTCTGGGGAGATGCTGCTGTCACCGAGGGGCAGGACAGGGAAAGGGACATGGGAACACAAGCTTTAGTGTGAGCATGGGTGTCCTGTGGCCAAGGGCACCCACCACCTGGGAAGAACATCAGGCAACAGGAAACGTTTTGGGGTAATGACAACACCTGTCAACCCAGCACTTAGTGTCCTTTGTAAATGTATCAGAAACCCGTGCATGATGACTCTTCAAAGTATGAGGTTTGGTGGAGGTGTAGAAGAAGGGATTACAAGTGACCTCAGCCCTGATAAATCACAGTTGTACTAATTATAAAAGAAGAGCCTTGCCCTCAATGCCTGGAAGCTGTGACTAATAAAGATAAGTGTGACAAAAGGTGTGGGTTGGACAGCCAGGGAGAGCCTGGAGGAAGAAGAGGAGCCCGAGGAAGAAGGAATGATCCAGAGAGACTCAAGGAAGAACGAAACAAGGAGGAGAGTTGCTGCTGCAGAAGATCTGCTGTGAGGTCAGTCTGGGTCTGATAGAGTTGGAGCCTGCAGTCATACTCGAGTTAGGAATGACTTGCAGTCATATTCCAGCAGGGATAGCCAGCAGTCAGAGCCTGCCAGAGAAGCCAACAGCAGAAGGGTGCTGTAGTCAGAGTCAGGATGGCTAAGCTCTAAAGAATAAACCAGAACCCTTTTCATGTTATTGAATCAGAGTCTGTGTCTTGGCTCACTTCTACCCCTAGTGTCTGCTGCAACAGTTTGGTGCTACTTTTATTGCACCACTAACTCACCAAATACCTTTTCTGTAGAATTCATTGGTACCGAATTACATGTAGCATTACTCCAGACAATGATTCATTTCAAGAAAAGAGCCTTTAAATTGATAATTGTCTAATTGTCAAAAACACAGTGGTTTTTTATAATTTAATGTCTTGAAAAATTCACATCTTGAGTAATCCGTGGGAATTGTGCAACTCTTCCAGACTAAGTAACGTTTGCTTAGGGTTCACTTGAAGAATCATTTTCATTGACAAATAACCTTGCAGTCATTTCATAAGCATCATCTTTACTGCATTGTCCAAATTATTAGTAAAAGTACTGCTAATACTCATCCTGAAAGATACTGAACTGTACTGGAGACATCTTTCCTACAGAGCAGACACTGATTAGAATCTCAGTGGGTACCACGAATCATACAGAAGTTTCATACTGCTCATGTTTCCTTTGCTTATGAGAAGTTCTTTAGAGGTAGTGTGTGAAGCCTGTTTCCCCCTCCTACGGCCTTGTCTCCCTTTGCTGACGGGTTCACAGAGGAAGTCAAATTACTTCTATTTCAGTCATTCTCAGATTAATCTCTGCAGATTTTTACTTACCACTGACTTGAGTTCTGCATGCTTACAAACAGATTCTTTGATGGGTTCCAATGTTTTTTTCAAATACTAAAGCCAGGATTACAGATCTAGTTTTTCCAGTTCCTTCCTCTCCACCTTCTTAAGAGAGGTACCACGTTTACTCTTTCCCAGTCTTCCGAGAAAAATTTCTGTCTTCAACAGATTTTTTGGAGGAATCTCCTGTGGCTTTAGGATTGTTTCAGATAACTCCTAGAAACCAAAAGATAATGTAAGAACCTGTAATTAACAGTACTGAGGAGAGTGTGCCTTAGCTGGTCCAGCCTCTGTGTGTCGCTGCTCCATTTGGCCTCAGTTTCTCCTGCTGAGGATTTTCCACTTCCTTTGAACTCATTAAATATTAACTGGGTCTTGCCATAGCAGGAGCTTCTGGTTTAGTGAGCAGCAAAGCTGTTCTGACCTAGGAAATGAACAGCAAGGTTTTACAGGAATAGCTCCACTAGGTTTTTTTGCAGTACAGCAGAATTCATGAATGGTTTCCTCTTTGCAGCTTGCACCCGAGTTCATCTGGCTCTAGCTGGTATTCACAGAAATCTGTATGAGAGCACAGGTTAGAGATGTTACACTAAAGATGTTCTTATCCATGAAAGTTTCATTAACAGAAACATGCTTTGTATATATCTATTTCCTAGAACATTATTCATGTTAAATATAAGTTATTCTCTTGTGGATGCACTAGAGAAGAGTAAGATGGTTCAGTGCAAAGAGCAGCAGGTCCTACTCCTTCATCTGTAGTTGGATATTTTCTTACCATTTTTTTCTAAATATTTTGATTATAACAGAATAGATTTATATTTCTCACTAAAGCAGAAATCTCTTGTTCTTCTCTAAGCTAAGCAAAACTATGTTTGAGCTTATTGTTTAAACTTTATAAGTACCAATCATCTAACCAGCTTAAAAACAGTGTCTACAATCACTGCTGCACTAAATTGTTAGAAAAATTAAAGTCGATAACTAAAACAAAATTAAAGTCAATAGCTAATTACTTTACCTGACCCCTGGCAAGCAGATCAGCAGCACTGCTTCAGTCCAGGCTGCTCTACAGAGCACGGGAGTGTTTTCTTACAGACCGTGCCTTACCAGTTTGCTAAGCGGCATAACCAACCACATCCTTCTTTTCTTCTCTTTTTTTTTTTTTTTCCCCGTCTCAAAATATGCTCTATGCCTACTTACATAAGCAAGTGAAGGTGGAAAAAGTGTAAAGATTTGAATCCTCAGCTGTTTCCAGTCAAAATAGGGTGGGGAGCAATTCCTCTCTAAGTCAGGGGGTTTGGCCCGGCCTTTACCTTGTGTGATACAGATGGGAGCTTTGTGAGCTTGTGGTGGCTACCTCCAAATTTAAATTATTCCTTGAGCTGGGGAGGAGCTAGAAAGTGGAAAGTTGTAGGAGAGGTTGTAATAAAAATAGGGTTTCTTCCCCCAGTTTCTGCTCCATTTGCATACTGGAGATCAGTAGTGAAGCACTCGGAGGCTTCTGAGAGGTACAGCTACTTCCACACATGCAGCTGTTAAACTATTTGAGGGCTACGTGCCACTTTTAGCCAGTTCAGGTGTGTGATTCATAACTGCAGGCTGGCAAACAAATGTTTATCTGTGAGAGGACTGAGGTGCACGGAGCAGCAAAGGAGTGCCTTACATGTGAGCCACACATGAGCCAAACACACTTTTCTTGAGATGAGCTCCAAGGCTTTCTGGAACCTCTCTGGCTGAAGTGTGAAACTCACTTGTTAGTGCTGACAGCCCCTCTCGTGACTTGTGGACATGCTGCAACCCTTTGCAGAAAAATACAGGAAGAAATGCAGCTCTAATTGACAGTTTTCAAATTGCAGCCTGGCTTTGAAGGTAATTTCATGGTAATTTCTTTCTGGAGAAAAAGTAGCATCAGCATTCATACCACAGGAGTAGGAGAAGAAAAAAACCCTGCAACTTTCTCCTTGTCTCCAAATGGGATTTGGAAAGAAAAAAAAAAGCAGAACACCAAACAAAGCTTAGGTAAACCTCCTCAGAAAATTGTGTGGCAGAGGAAATGAAGGCAATATGATTCATAGCATTTCAGAAACATATTCTGGAATTGGGAGGTTTCAAGGGCTTTGCAACTTCTGTCTTCTCAGAACTGTGGTCTGCCTTCAACTCAGCAACAGACTGAAATGAATTTGGAGTCACAGAAAGAGACTTAAGAGTGCAACTAAATATTAGCAGAAAGCAAACATCCTACAATTGAGTGACTTTTGAACAAGTTATTCTGTGCCATGTTGCAGCTGAAATAGGATTGCTTCTTTAAACTTCTTGCCACAGGCATCCTCCATGAAAAATGAATGGAATACTTTGTGCTGCCTTCTCTGCCAGCACTAGCTTCATTCCTTGTGGCTCTGTGAACTTCCCACTTAGTGCCACTGGATACATCAGACCTAGACAAAAAAATCAGCATTTCTGCACACATCAGCTGTATGTTTGCTAAGCTGGCAATTTTTTTGTGATACATGTGGGTTCACCACTCATAGGTGAGTAAGTCATTTATTGGTGTGCACATAAATCCTTTTGCAAGTTGGCTTTTTTGGCTTGAATGAGGACAACTTCCATCTAGAGCATATTTAATGAGGGCAAGTTCTGAATGACTCAGTCCCAGGCTGGCAGATACATTATTGGCTAAGAAATTAAGGCTTGTTTCCCCCATCCCTGGTGAATGCTTTTGGAGTTTCTCAGGTGCTAACATGAAAATGTCCAGCAGGAATTATTTCATTGAGTCCTTTGTGCTCCAGTGCCTTTTCACCCAGCAGTGCTGCTGATAAATGCTGATAAATGCTGTGTTTTGGGGATCCAGGTGGCTGCATGGCTCTGAGGTTTTCAACGGGAAGGAGAAGGACTTCAGTTTTTTTAAATTAACCAATAAAATGCATTGGGTGTATGTTTTTTGTGCTACCTAGAGACAGGAATCTTAACAACTTTATCTGTTTCCCAGTATTAAGTTCCAGCTAGCAAATGAATAGTGGCTGGAAGAACCATAATCCAACTGATAGGAAGGGTATGACCAAAAAATTCATAATGTTCAAAGGTGAGTAGGGTTGGTTGGTTGGTTGGTTTGTTGTTTTTTGGAGTTTGCTGAACTTTCTCTACTTTTTATCCTCTTGGTGCCATAAGTGCTGCTTTTGCTAAGTCAGGCACCAGCATTTGCTGTTTTCAAGGAATAAAACTTCTCTTTCACAGGAAACATGTTCATACAGTGCAAAACCACTTTCATTTGCATCACACCAACATGAATTCTTCTGATCTTCTTAAGTGGAAAATATAGCAGCTTTGAGGTCCAGCTTTCACAAATGCCTGAATTATTTGTTTGCTTATACTTAATGGCCAGAATGGAATGAGTTGGGCTCCAGATCTAGATTTAGGATGCTCAAATGCAAATTAATCAAAATTCAAAGGAAGGGTCCATGTGTTTCTGGGCCGTTCTGAATGAATGTGTGATTTGTTCTCCCAGACAGATGTAAAATGTCATCTCAGATAACAAGACTTAAATATCCAGAGTAAAATGAGTCAGGAAAAGACATTGCTCAGAGAGAGCTGGGAGCTGAGTAACAAGCTGTCCTTGTCCTTGGGAAGAGTGCTGCATGCAGTGGGGAATTGGAAAGCTGATGAACTTAGACACCTGGCTCTAAGGTGTCTTTTATGCTGTGCTGTGAATGGTTTCTGATATTTTGATGTGTTTTTAAAGGCATCAAAGACTGCACAGCCACAGTGAGTTAAGCCAACAAGTCTTGTTCTGAGCAGGCTACCACAGCCTGCAAACCCAAAAGGGATTTGCTGCCTTCTTGTAAGAGGGGAGATCCTGGAGACTTCATCTAACTCCAGCTGAGCAGCAGAAACACCCTGGAAAGGAAAATGCCAAAAGCTTATGATGCCCTCAGCTACCTGAAGATGTACTGTGATGTTCTTTCTGTCTAAGGAGCAAGTAAATAAAAGAACAAGCTTAATTTTCAGTGGTGTCTTAAAAATTGTTGTTTGCACTTGTGTTGGAGTAGAATTGTGCTTATCTGGAAACCTTCCACTCCACACTAGTGCTCAGTACCTCTTCTTCACCTTCCAAAGCAGCCAAAGCCTAACAAACAGTGAGCTATCTTAACTGTGCAGCTGGGAGCTTTGAAAAGCTCAGGGGTTGTGTTTTTTCTCATGGAGCCATTTTTTTTGAGTTCAGGAGACTGCAAAACTTGAAGCCAGAAAACCTGGGAACTGCTGTATTTTACAGGGAACAACCAGACTCAGCCTCCTCAAGATGAGGCAAGGACTTGAAGGCAGCCCAAATGGAGCAAAAAGTATAGTTTTTTTGAGCTGGCCAGATATGAGAGTAGGCTTATTTCTACATCTGAGAAACCTTACAAAGGCTTGTCAGGGTTGTGTGATGAGAGAAAAGGAACTGGGCAGCCTGGTGAGCAGCCAGCCTCACACTAATAGGGTTGAGTGAGCAAAATTATGGTCCAGAATATCTTCAGCTGTGCCTGACTCAAAAGTTCACCACCAGGACAGCAAGCATGCACGGTGCCATCTCCTTAGTAACTTCAGATGCCCACAGTCCCCAGCTGATGACCCCATTTTCCAGTTCAGTTTTGTCTTCCAGAGGCTACAAAGCCAGCTGGACATGGCCAGAGCCAGCCAGGTGCCAGTGAGCACATGTGCCTCGTGGCCAGTCCACTCCTCCTCTAGGCAGGGACAGAATAGCTTGTGTGTGGCCAAAGCAAAGCTGGGGGGCTTAGCACCAGGCTAGAAATGTTTCTTGAGTGTTCATAGGAAGAGGCAGCCAGTAGAGCTGCAGGTTCAGCTTTAGTGAAACAGTGCAAGAATAGACACAGAGCTTCCTGCACCCCTGAGCTCTGCAGTCTGCCCCAGGGCTCCCAGCACTGCCACCTGTGCCAGCTGCAGGGCAGGGGGCTCTGGGCTGCTGCTGGGGCAGTGCTGTGCCCCCTGAGCCGTGGCACTGCCAGCGGGGTGTGCC